AAAAGTCAGAATTGTAAAAAACAGAGAAAAAAAAAAAAAAAAAAAAAAAGGCCGTCAGCTGAATACGGCCAAGACAAAGAAGAAAACAGAACAAGCATCAGTGACGGGGAAGTGTTCGAGTTCAGCCGTCGGTTCCACTCATGGCCAAGCACATATACGACATGTCACACAGGAGTCGTCTGAAGCCCTTTTGAATCGATCCGCCATGAAAAGGGAGCCGAACCCCTTCTCTGTCGGCGTCTGCAACCAGCTCACCGGTCAATGCTCCTCATCTCCTCCCGGGCCCTGCAGCAGCCGCTCGGGCGCGCCATCTGCCAGGTCCTTATCCGTCGCTTCTTTTTTATCTTGCGAGGAAACTAATCATTGTCAGCTGCATGCAGCTCATTCTCCGAGTCAGTATCTGACTATTTATCTGTGCAGTACCTCCGTACGAAGATCGCATCCGTGTCATTTCAGCGTTTCCCGCCGTCCCCTCCTCTTGGCGCGGTCTGATCATTTGGAGAGGAACCATGATTCCAGAGGGCTCTCTTTTGGGCAGACCATCTTTCCGAGGATAGATGGCTAAAATGCCCAAGGCAGATTCTGGCTGGCCTTGTTGCTTTTGTTGCCGGGATCAAACCGCCACAAGTTGAGTGTCTTGTATCTGACGGGAGCACTGGTTGGCTGGATACAACGTGCGTGTAATCCGGGTGAGTGTCGAAGAACTTGGACTTGAGCGAACTCAAGTTTGGAATATTGCCGGCTGGATTTTTTTTTCTTTATTTTTTTTTTTTTTTTTGGCTTCTATTGAATCGATATTTCATTCAGCACACCCCATTTTGCATGCACAGCATCTGTCCCCGGCAACGTGATGCTGGCAAACTTGGCAGGTAAGCCCAAAAACAATTATGGGCATCAAAGAGCATCTTGTATTCTCTACAATGTCTGAGTCTTGTTTGCCTTGACGATGTGATTTGGGTACCCTCCGCAAGCACCCCGAACATCAGTACTTGTCAGGCACGCTCCAGTCTGGCAATGGTGGTCGTCTATTCAGACTCCTAGCCACCTCGGCATTCTCCCGTGTCGTGATTCCCGGGCGATTTAGCGGGTCCCCCGTTCTACCCCAGAGTCGGCCATCGCGACATCCGGCTGGTATAATTTGGAGCGGGCGGGACTGGACACGATTGACGATGGATCGGCTCAACCACTGGGGAGTGATCGAGAATCCTGAGAGGTGAAGATCTTCAGATTGCTCTGGTATGTGAAGACGCAGTTGCTCATATCGTAGAAGTGAGTAGACAGATGGCCGGCCAATTCATTACTTCATAAGCTGTAGTTCTCTTTCCATCCATGCTAGACCGGGTCGTTTACATATTGGTCGGGTTGGGTTCGCACAAACGGCGTGCACCTGCATATTGCCCCGCAAGTAACTTGGCTCAGTTCATCATTCGCTAGAATTGCGAGAGGCATTATAGGAGCAACATGAGCTTCCAACGATGCAAGTTTGTGCGATTGCTGGCTCTCGAGAACAGTCTGCACTGGTTCAACATGCAGGAGGAGACGCCGCTGAGTCTTCCAGCTAACAATGCCTTGTAATGCTCGGTATTTGCTTTTCGCATGGTTTTGATCTTAATGGCAGTCTTGGGTGAAGAATCGTCGATTCCCCAGGATTGTGAAATGACCGCCTAGTATATCGCTGAGTGTTCTTGTCTGAGCTCCGGACGAGAAAGTCAGCATAGACCTTCTCCCAAGCAACGTAGATCAAGTTTGGGACTGGGGTTCCTTTCAAAATCCATATTTGCTTGTCGAGATGTGTCTTGCCAAGAATACGCCAATATTCAGAAGCCACGAAGCTGCAGAACATCGCATCTTATGTGCATGCAAGATATGCGGTTGCCCGGGTGGTCCAGGCACAAACATGTACGAAAAGATGTCGCACATATGCATATGACGGTTTTTCTTTTCTTTTTCTTTTTTTTTCTTTTTTTTTTCTTCTTTCTTTTTTTAACTCTATCGTGCATCAACTGGCTTATGCATCAGAACCTGGTCATTGAAGGTGACGCAAGTGTCGCGGGGTGCGTTTTGACAAGAAAGCGGCCATTGCGACGCTGAGCTAGGAAGCTGCAGAAAGATAATATGGTATCATCATTGATATATGGATACTGACTCTTCTAAATTTTCTTGAAAGAGTCAGAAAGGTAGTTCATAGCCTAGAAAGCTCTATCACGACTGCTTCTAGCAAACGCAAGCTATCACAAGGTCCTCGGAACCGTCTATGGCATGTTGAGGAATTTCTCTCGGATTTGTTGGAAATGCTTGCAGTGTAAATCTGCCATCCATCAGCCTTGTGGCAAGCTGCTGTATTGGAAGACACAGCAATGCGCTGCACGCTGCCGAGCTGCATCGCCTTGCCAACAGACGTGAGCGACGCCGCCAATACCTGCGTCATAGATTGAATCTGTTGATAGCATATTTTAGGCTTCTGCGCAAGAGTCAAACGCTTTGTGAGCTTCCACGAACCTAGGCCCGTCTTGGCGTTGATGAGTCCTTGCTTGATCAGTGGCGTTTCGTCCAAAACAGCGCAAGTCGCATTGCACTCAATCTTTGTCAATGTTAATTCGTAGCTCATTCACTTACGGCGCAATTATGGTCAAAGTACATCTGCGGCAAGCGCCGCTTGCTCCATGCAACACATTGTCTTTGCCAGGGTTCGTATGCCTTGCGCGTCAGGGGACCGGCAAGCTCGTATACCTTTCTACATCGCAGTCATCTTGATATAAACCCATTGTGTATCAGTCTCGCTTGCTAATTCTTTCAAGATAGCCGCAATCCCTTGATACATGTCACTTCAGCGCATTGCATTACTTTATGGACTCACTACAGCCATATTCACGGCTCGTTCTGTAGAGATGCACAATCTCGGGTTCGTATACACCTTAATTATCTTGTTGAATACATAACAAAATCTAAATCACAGGTTGGTCTCTTTGGTAGTTGGAAGAATGCTAGTCACATGCTTGTTTTAATAGTCTTGCTACGATTTCCACGACGAATTTCTGAAGTGTAGTGTCACCACGCGATTGAGTCAAAGACACATTCCTACAGCGAACTGCCTCCTTCCGCAGTTGGCGGTCGAGCTGTCCGTCATCTCTCGAAAGTTTGAAGATGCAACACCCTGGAAATTCTGATTGATCAATCAGAACCAAGCGAGCATTGCTTGTAGGGTAGGAGCTGGCACGAAAAAGAGGGGATTCTCTGGTCGGCTCTATCTATGGTCGGGTTCCTCTCAGGTCCTGAGATCTGCATAGTGAAATCGAATCCCATAAATAGTGCATTCGAGAAGAGCTGTTTAATCTTGAGCCTCTCCTCTCTTTTTTTGAGACATGATGTGACTACAAAGTTATACCCATGAAGGCTGTAGCTGGGCTCTAGGCTGGCTGAGGAGATTAGAGTAAGTTGAACCAAATTGTTTAGCTCATAGGAAGTAATTAGAGCTCATCTTCTATACAACCGGCCGCGTGGCCTAATGGTTAAGGCGCTAGATTTCGGCCCCCCGTATCGTAACCTCTAGAGATTCCAGGTTCGACTCCTGGCGTGGTCGCACCTTTTTGCCGTCTGACACTTCTTGTCTGGTCATTTTTCCTATTATTTTGCTTTTGCTTTTGGATTCGTCCGAAGTTGTTTGCAGGTGAGAGGGTGTGCATGATTCGGACCGTCGTTGATGGAGAGTACTGGCTTACAGCCTCTGCTAGCAGCAGAATTTACGCAGTCCCTTCGATCAGGCAATGCAACGGCTGTTCTCTATTGCAACAGGGTCTTATCAAATAAATATTAGAGGCATCCCTATGGCAGCGGACCTGGGCTTTCAATGGTCATTGTGAATAGGTATAGATAGCGACCCGTACATGCAGATTCGGCGGGGGACTCGCGACGTGACTACTGCGAGGTGACAATGCAGTTTGCGCACCAGCATTGTCGGATTACGAATGTACCGAATGGTATGCTGCCATCGAGGAGGGTTTTGTGGTGATTTGAGACAATGGCTTGGCCCGACAATGTCGCCATTCTCTAGACATACGCCATGTCTGGGCGTGTGGACGCGGACCCTCGCTGGGCCAGAGTAGGACGTGCTGGGCGTGAATTGGCTCAATTGCTAATGAACAGTACCGCTTTTATTGAACATTTGGTTGAGAAAACGTTTAAACCAGACTTCTGGCCGGCAAGGTGCTCAAGTGAATGGCATTTGCCATGATGTAATATCCGGGAGCGAAACCATAGTTTCCTTGGCCGCGTATGACCAGACAGCCCGCAAGCTTTGACCAAAGCACGCAGTCACCTCGGCGACATTCAACAATACAGCAACACTTGGAGTGCACAAAGAAAGACTTGAACAGTCGTCTCACGCAATTTGGCGAAGCTCTTTTCTACTTGGCCGGGCCCTCGGCGCATGGAGGGGTCGTCGTCGGCAGCCAGCGGAGCCAGACCTCGCCGACAAGCCGGGGGCGCGGGGCTTGTCGTCTTGTTAGCTCACAGAAGCGCCTATTGCGTCAGAGAAAGCGGGATGGCAAAATCAACCCCCTACGGCCAATAAGGCGGCGTTGCGGGCACGCAATCGACGCACCATGCCCTATGCGGATGAGGGGAGGTTAAAAAGACCAAGGGCACTTGAGATGGACTTGGCGAACCGTCGAGAAAAAGGATGGGCAATCATGACCCCGCCAACGCCAACAATATTGAGGGGGGGGTGTTGTGGTGGAGGGGCGGGACGGCGAGCTGAGCGAGCGAGCGAGCAGAAAAAAAAGAGCTTCTGCGACTCGAAGGCGGGCGGTTTTCTCGGCGCACACCTGGTGGGAATGTCGCCATGCGTAAATCTCCATTCTGCGAAGCTTTGGAGCACACCGTGTGTAGCTAGCTAGCTGATGAGCAATTTCCACTGTAATGGTGTGTGCCAGTTCTAGTTATGTATAAAGTCTGACTTGGTGCCACTATTCTCTAAGCTCTCCCTCCCTTTTCTCTCTTCTCTGTTTTGATTTCACATCTACTTTTACCAACTCGACTCAACATTTACCCTTGACCACAAGACAGACACACAAACACACACGCATACAACTCTCACAATGGCTGCCACCACCACCACCACCACCACCACCACCGCTCCTCTCCGCCTCGGCTCCAAGGCCCCCAACTTCACGGCCGAGACCACCAAGGGCAAGATTGACTTTCACGAGTTCATCGGCGACAACTGGGTCGTGCTCTTCTCGCACCCCGAGGACTACACGCCCGTGTGCACCACCGAGCTCGGCGCCTTTGCCAAGCTCGAGCCCGAGTTCACCAAGCGCGGCGTCAAGCTGATTGGCCTCTCGGCCAACACCATCGAGTCCCACGACGGCTGGATCAAGGACATTGCCGAGGTCACCGGCGGCAACGTCAACTTTCCCATCATTGGCGACAAGCAGCGCCAGGTCGCCCTGGCCTACGACATGTAAGCTTTCTTTCGCACGACAACCCCCCTCCCCCCCAAAAAAGGCCCTCGTTGTAAAGTGATTCACCGAGTGCCGTTTCTGCGAGCTCTAGAAGCTTGGCCGAACGGACTTGGCGACCTAATTTACATGTGCTCTGCGGGCTCGTTCTTTTTCCCTACTGGCGTGGCAACAGCTACAAACCTGAGTGCGGAAGCGGCTCTTTTGAAGCTCGGCGAAGAGCTCCGCTCGACAACCCTCTCAGGCTTGTAATGAGCTAGAGCGCGGCCATTGAATCAGTGCCATTTTCGAGGAAGAGAAGAATTGAGCCCTTGGAACTCATTCCCGTCGCACACCATCGGCATCGCGATCATACTAACACTTCATCTCCAGGATCGACCACCAGGATGCCACCAACGTCGACTCCAAGGGCATCGCCTTCACCATCCGCTCCGTCTTCTTCATCGACCCCAAGAAGACGATCCGCACCATCCTCTCCTACCCTGCCTCCACTGGCCGCAACGCCGCCGAGGTCCTCCGCATCATCGACTCCCTCCAGACCGGCGACAAGCACCGCATCACCACCCCCATCAACTGGGTGCCCGGCGACGACGTCATCGTCGCCCCGCCCGTGTCCAACGAGGAGGCCGAGAAGCTCTTCCCCGGCTTCCGCATCGTCAAGCCCTACCTCCGCTTCACCAGCCTCCCCAAGGCGTAATTTATTTCTTGAAGAAGAAAAAAAAAAGGAGGAGGGAATTCCCGAGCCGCGTCGCCGACGTTTGGGTTATCACCCGAGTTCCGCTGTAGTGGGGGCGGGGTAGCTGAGTGTCCCCGAGCCGTCGTATTACATTTCGAATCGGCTCGGGCTTTGGGGAGTGAGCCGTGGATTAAAAGTGGTGAAATTAATAATGAATGAGACTCCAACGACGAGGACGCTTTGCTGGACCTTGATGGGCTATTGAAGGGCCCCAGTTGCCAAAGGGCGATTCTGCTGTCGCCGATTTATGTGCTGGAAACAAGTAGCGAGATTCAATGAACAAATATCTATTCTAAAGATACATACCAACACACTCTTATTTGCGCAGTTTTTTTTTATTTTTATTCTTTTAATTTTTTTTGCTTAGATAAGTCATGATTACAAAGTTTACCCTCAAACGGACTCATTTCTCGTTGCATTGCATCGATTGTTGAGCTCAAGCGATGCTGTTGTCGTCGCATCTTGTTAGGGTAAGCTGGCTGGGCGGAGTGATCCACGCCCTGCGAAAACGGCGAGCCGTGCCACGCTCCTGCATATACGGCACAGTTTCAGGCAAACAATTGATATGCGCTGTCCTTTTGTACCGAGCTATTTAGCAAGTCAGCGAGGCGAAGCATGTTCGAGGTAGTGTTAGCGGCAGGTGATAAATTACTACTGCAGCCATCATGTACGCGGCCGTACTGCCTTGACCTATTTTTGACTGGACTGGTAAAGGAGACCTACATAGGCGGCCATGTACATGTGGAAATTCGAATTCAGAGGACCAAGTTCAAATTTGAGAACATTGACGTTGGCACTGATAGGTTTTCAAACATCAAAGCTACAGTATACGCCCTTGTTTCGTATGCCGCGTCGGCCCGTTTCGCTGCTCTGCACGAGGTGAGTTAAAGCGATGCGCGAGTTACAAATACAGAAAACGAGCATACCATTCAGACTATCTATTTTCAGAGTAAGATGAATAACAGACTATGATGTAAATTATTCCTTTTGTAAGCTACAATTACATCACGAAAAAGTACGGATAGAAGTGGCGTCTTCCACCACTTGGTCGTAGTATATTCTGTTTCAGCTTTTCGACTGGGGCCCCACGTGCTGCAACTGCCGGAGCAAGATGACATCGCCAGAGAAGCTCTACGCAGCATAAAATCTCGGTAGTTGCTCGCCGGAGTTAATAACTGACATGTAATATGTTGAACATACAAAGGCATCTGGCTGGCATGCCAATGCGTGTCTCCGCCCGTCATGGCTATCGGCTTTGTTTCAATAATCATGCCGTTGTCCTCATCCGCGTATCGAGCCGGGAGCTTTTTGTATGGGCTTGATTAATTAATTCAAGGATTCTCTCTTCCCTTTCGTTTGGTCCCAGTTATTTGGTAGCCAGGATGCAAGGTGCTGCAGGATACCGTCGGAGCCAAGGTACGGTGGCCTATCATACGAATCACCGCCACGTGCCAGAGCGGTACATTCCCCCAGCTCTATATTCTCTTCTAATTTGAGACGGCAGTGCCCTTGCAAGATCCATCATCCCATAATAATACTTGCAGCGTGTAATCGGGGATCCTGGGCGGCTTGGTGCTGGACAGGGCAGGCAAACGGATGGTGATGGTCGACCCAAAGCGTTGGTAGCGTGAACAATGGTGGTGTGCATCCGTGCAACCGTGCAACGCCCGGTGTAGCCGTGCAGTGATGGACTCGGTTTTCTGCCGACGGAGGCGTGGTCAAACGACCTTGTGAACGCCGCGATGGGCCAAGTTTTCTCGTGTTCTGGCTATTGAAATATGTGATGATTGATGAAGATTTTGTTTGCAGAAAAGTCAGCCGTTTTGTTGTGGCTGCCAGCTGCCAGCTGCGCGCTGCCAGCTGCGAGTTATTTACCAGCGATCGAGCACGTACAGGCACGTAAACACCGAGAACATGGCTTCTTGCACGGTAATAAAGAAGATAGAATGTTCGAATTCCATTTCCCGCTGTCAAAATCGATTATCGGTCTGCCCGATGAACGCTTGGGCTGTCTAGTTTGTGGCGCTCACTCCTCTCTATCACAGATTCCAAGTTGGCCCAGAATTTCACCCACCACCATTGACCACCACCATTGACTGACAAGCCGCACGGGCTTCTCCTGGCCCTCTCGATACTTCTGGCAACGCAAAACCCTTACTTTGCGTCGCGGACAGCTTCCGCAGTGAATTTCCTAAAGAGGACGATTTTGTGCTACAGCGCTGCAAATTTCAAAGTCGCTCGCTATTGGTTATAAGCATGCGAAACAGAAACGAGCTAGCTCCATCAAATCCATCGTCCAACGACAACCGCCAGTGGCACCAGGCTAAAAGGCCAGCCTCATAGGTAGTTCGAGGGTCAGGGCAAGAAATCCACCAACGAGAAGCA